TTATGCATTCTCTCCTCCTCCAAGGACATAATGGCTATTGTCCAGAATAGGTGACTGCAACACCCTCTCTAATTTGCATTCCAGGAAAGTCACCAGACTTGTTCATATGTTAAGGGAGAGCTTGGACTGGTTCCTTATTTTACCCGTAAATTACCAAGAATCTCTTCTAGGTCTGGTAATTCGTAGACCTAGAACTGCATTTATCTGAGACCTGTTATTGCTGTGACATCCATACCTTTGGTGCTATACGAAGGCCAAGAAACATGCGCCACAAATATTCAGCAAGATAGAGCTTAATCTGGCTCCTTCATTAACAGCCAATTATTAGTGTGATTTGCTGTGTTACAGAAGACACTAGTGGAGATTTGTTATCCTTTCATCAGAGTGTTAAAGGAACTGATAACCCCTGAGTCAGATGTTAGTTAATCATTACAGTACGGATTCACTAAACTAGAGCAAATTGAATATGATATTCTTTTAGAGGACTAAAAGTTTGCATTAGAAATAATTTGCAAGCACAAATGAAGGAAAATAATTGTGGAAGGTACAGTTCAGCCAAGTCTACTTGGTTGCTCCGTAGTCTCAGCTCTAACTTGCTGTCCATACTGAGGTTAAGTCAGTGATTGTTGGGGGGGGGGGGTCAAGTCCCCTATCAACCCACCTCGTAATGCCCAGTCATGGCAACTGTTCAATGATTTTGTGATGTGTAGATGAGAAACTAGTCTCTGGCGAGTTCATCAGTACCGTAAAGAATTAGCAAGATGTTATGCATTCTTTAAGGACATTACATTGGTTACATTGTTTTTTCTGTCTTTGGGCAGTCCTGTCATAGGAGTCATCCTTTATAATATCAGACTGAATTGTTAATATATTTAGTTATATAACATTTAGTATTGTGGCTCTTTCTTTATAATCCATTTTTTTCTGCATTTTTTAATGAACATATTATAAACAGCTACCAAGAAGCATCAACACATATTATGAAGAAACCATGTCATGTTATATAAGCTATATATCATTCCTGATAACACTGGATCAGAGAGCCACATTTCTGCTAACACATCACAGCAAACCATAAGGAAAAGAGACGTTTTTAAAAGCAACCATTGGTTAATTTGTAAGACGTACTGATACTCTAGCCATATTGCAGTAAAGGTGCATATTTCACAACCAGAGAATACTGACCACCCAACTTTATGAATCAATACATTATTTTGGTTTTACTTTAAAGATTGGTAATTTAACAATTCTCTTCAAATATTTACAGGACTTGGGCTCAGAGCAATGCCAGCAAATCCTTTACATCCAGCTTTGCCAATATAGATAATATGTATATATTTTTTTATTATATTATTAGTTACAGACGTTTGTTTATTGCAAATGTGAGCAATTTGTATAGCTGTAAATTCATTTACAATAGGTAACATCCTATTATGTCGGGGAAAATCCCAGATGCTGGTGGTGCTTAATCACATTATGAGTTATAAAGATTCAGTTTATTTTGTAGCGAAACAAAATTGATATTAGTATTATATTCCATCGATAAATTTATTATGTTACAATGAAATTCCTGGTTTACCACTCTTATAAGTTCTAAATCACCCATTATTTCAAATTTTCTTCTTTTCCATAGTAGTATGGATCACCAGTCATTGCCAAATGTAACAGCAGGCACATTATCACCAGCGCTCCATCCTTCACAAGTGTCAAGCACGAATTAACCTCTGTAGTAGACCTGCAACCTGTTGACACAGGCATGAGGTCCATGAGCAGTGAAATGCAACCAGTGGACGAGGACCTGAACTGTGCCCAGGACTTCATCAGCGTCAGTCGACAGATACACCAGGTGAACAGTGGCATTCCCGTGGAGGAGCTGAGGCTGACCGAAGGGAACATGCAGTCTGTGAGTGCATGAGCAAGTGGATCCATTGGGGGTGACAAACGAGACACGCTGACTATGGATGGTGAGATGGGCGACATGGAACAGAATCAAGACGTACAAGTTATAGCTCATCAGGTGAGGTTTGATTGCAATTCCTTTTGTCCATTTTATTTTTCTGTCTCATTTGTTTGAGTTCAAGTGATTGGAATTAAATAGAGTTCCATATTTTGTTAATTACTTCTCGATAAGGATAAAGCAGTAATTGAAGCAACTAAAATTAGTTTTGAAATCTGTTAGATATTATTTTTTATAGATCAATGGCAAAGCTTGCTGCGATATAAAAAATAAACAAAAGGAAATCTGCTTATCAATAGAGCAATTATGTTTCTGATGCCAAACCTTAGATAGACAAAGTAGCGTCATTGTGAGCCTTGAAAATCTGATTTTTTTTATGGTTAGCAGTAGTGTCAGCTTAATAGTAGTTGATATCTGTTACTAAAATCCTTATCAAGTTTGTTACACTAATGAATAATTTTTATGCTGAAGGTGTAACTATACACAAGAAGTGAATTCTAGCAGCCATCAGTATTGTTCACCATTTCAAATCCACAGCTGGTTAGGATAAGAACAGTGTGGAACAATTATACAACAGTGAAAAGTTTTGAGTGTAGAGATGGAAAAAGCAGAATTCGCTATCATAGTCACACCTTTTCAGGAACAATTGTGATCACTCCAAGAATTTGTATTTTAACGTCTTCATGACAGGTATGGCTATAGCCGTCATGACTCGCAGCGGATGGGATGACTGTACACAGCTTAGGCCAAGCCACAAAGTCTAGACTAATTGCTTAATATTACATCACAAATATCAGGCCCCTTCACCTTAGGGTTAAATGTAAAGGATGTGATACAGGTTGGGGAAATTTCTTTTGTTGTAAGAAGAATGCAAAAGAATGAAAACTATTGGTATGTGTGTATTAAAACGTTTCTTTATAATGAAGAGAAGTAGCTATATGAATTTCCCCTCATCCCCAAAAAATCCTTATCAATATACAGGTGAATTTGATATGCCAATATATTTTAATGGCAGGAAATCTGCTTTTCTTAATTTTCATGATTTCAGTGATGTTTTCCTATTTTCCTTTTTAGCCAATATTTTAGAACGAACGTGATTGCAGGATTGTTCATTCACAGTCTCAAACGCAAACTAAAGCAGAATCTCCCTCATTCAGGCCAATCTCCTGGAGGATGCGTCAGGGGTGATAAGTTCTGACAAAACGATCAAGCTTACCAGGGTTTTCAAGCCAGCAAGCTCCTCATGAGGGCCACGACCCACACGATCTCCAGTTGAGCAGCATACCAGTGGTGCAGGAACTCTGCCCCTTGATGCCCAGCATTATTATGAGAGCCTCCACCCAGCACCAATTATGGTCTACGAGGTGCCAGCGGGTAACATCGTTCCTTTTGATTCACTCGTGTCAGTGCCGCTGGGAAAGAGCATAGGTGAAAAGAATAATGAAGGAGTCGACTTACTGCAAGCATCTGTGAGTGAGACTGTTTATGCTCATCAGTCACAGGATATGTCTCATCCATTATATGTATTACATCAGCCACAGAAAAGGAAGACAGTTCTGAAGGAATGGTCATCGAGCAGATCAACTCCCAATGATGGGTGAGCCCAAATATTGTTCTGGAAAATAGAGATGCAAACAGTTTTAATAAGGTAGAAGGTCATTCATCTCATGATGCCCATCGGTTCAGAGTTAGCTTGATATCTACTTCTTGTTATGATTCCTCTGTCACAACGGTTGCAAACATGGCACATCTCTCCATGTCTGCAGTCTACCACTCTTCACGGACACAGATAGCGAAGTAGCACTAACGCTTGCCAGTTTAGGTAACCCAAAAAATGAGAAGATGGAGAGAGACTGTGTGCAAGCTCAGAATACAGAGCCTGCAGATGTCATCCGTGCAGCTTTCAATCATATCTGGAGTCACACAGCACCAGCAGTTTGATAATATACACCATCAGCCTAACAATACCTTGGAAGATCAAATGGGGAAAAAGGACCAGAAATCCACCCTTGTCTTGCGAAGCCGGAGAAGCCGCGGCACGACACCCAACCAACAGCAGCAGCAGCAGCAACAGCAGCAGGACATGGCAGCTGAGGAATGCAAGAAAGTGAACAGAAGGAAGAAGAGAAAAGACTCAAGACTTGTCAATTTTCCTAAATCAGAAGAAAATAACTTCATAATTCCAGATAGTATATTGCCAGTGAGGAACATGTCCACACCATCTATCACCTTGCAGAATGAATCTCAAAAGGAAAACCTTCTTGGCCAGCTCCTGAAGGCCTCTGAACATTGTGAACCTGCCACACTCATACCTGAGGGGGTTGTGGACGATGTCATACCTGCCGTCGGCTATAGGATCATGGACATGACAAACTTGAGTGAAATGATTAAAATGATGCACCGATGCACAGGCTCAATGGGGGCCAATAGTCATACAGGAGCAGGCCTCGCTTAGAGAAGGAGCTGTGTCTCAACTTAGTGTGATTTGCACTGGATGTCAGGTGATTCCATGCAGTTTTTCTTTAGTATTGTGACAGAAGCCTATTGGAAAGTAACTGACTCTTCTAGATTGTTTAATTTTTTTGTGCTATGGCCCAATCTTCTTTGAAATTCTAGATTTATAATTGGAAATGTTTGTATCATTTTATGGTTTTGTATGGGTTAGTGTTCAGCTGTTAAGACTGTTAGATGAATTTTTAGCCGGCATTGATCAAAACTGAATACATTTTCTTATATTCTAGTGCAATTATTCCAAACAAAAAGACTCATTGAAAAGACACTTTTGAGCTGAAAAAACTAGGGGATATACCTAGACATGCCAAGTAAATGCTAAGCCTCTTTTCCATGGATCCCTCTTAACATCCCCGTTCATAGCTGTTGGGTGTGATATTGATTTAAAATGCATAGTAGGATTGTCCTTATAAATTTATCTATTTTGATCCTTCATGCTAAAAGCTAGCCATTTTTATATGTTAAAAGGAAGGAGCCGTGTGTGCCACTAGTAACAGAACGCTGGCTACTGGACTTGGGACATCAATGCCCGATGGAGCAGAACTTACGAAAGAGTTTAACATTAAGGAAGACCAGGTTCAGCGCATGTTGGAGATCCTTGGCTATCTTCTCCCCTGTGATCCGTCCTACAGCCCATAGCACAGACGATGGTATTGGTATAGGAACTTTCACCTTTCCTCTCTCCATCCCTCACTTCACTCTCTACTGTCTTCTTTCACTCCTTCTCTTCCTTTCTCTTTATGTCTTTTCTCTTCTTCTTCTTCTTCCTTCTTTCTTCTTCTTCTTCTTCTTCTTCTCTTCTTCTTCTTCTTCTTCTCTTCTTTTCCTCTTCTTATCCTCCTTCTTCTTATCCTCTTCTTCCTTCTTCTCTTTCTCCTTTTCTCTTCTACTCCTTTTCGTCTCCTCCTTCTTCTTCTCCTCCTTCCTCTTCTCCTCCTCCTTCTTCTCATCCTTCTTCTTCTGCTCCTTCTTCTTCTTCTTCTTCTTCTTCTTCTTCTTTTCTTTTTCCTTCTTCTCTCTTTCTTCTCCTTTTCTACTCATCCTTTCTTCTTCCTCTTCTTTTCTCCTCTTTCTTCTTCTGCTCCTCTTTCTTCTCTCCTCCTCCTTCTCCTCTTTCTTCTTTCCTCCTCCTTCCCTCCTTCTTCTCCTCCTTCTTTCTCCTTTCTTCTTTCTCCTTCTTCCCTTTTCTTTCTCCTTCTCTTCTCTTCTTCCTTCTTCTTCTTCTTTCTTTCTTCTTCTTCTCTCTTCTTCTTTCTTTTCTTCTTCTTCTTCTTTCTTCTTCTTCTTCTTCTTCTTCTTCTTCTTCTCCTTCTTCTTCTTCTTCTTTCTTCTTCTTCTTTCTTCTTCTTCTCTTCTTTTTCTCCTTCTTCTTCTCTCTTCTTCTTCTTCTTTTCTTCTTTCTTCTTCTTCTTCTTCTTCTTCTTCTTCTTCTTCTTCTTCTTCTTCTTCTTCTCCTCCTTCTCTTCTTCTTCTTCTCTTCTTCTTTTGCCTCCTTTCCTTCTTCCTCCTCTCCTCCTCCTACTCCTCTCCTCCTCCTCTCCTCCTCCTCCTCTCCTCCTCTTTATTGTAAATTATTTTGCATATAAATTAGTCGCTTATGCCCTAAATTTACATCTTGATACATTTTTTTTTATATAGTCTCTCTCCTGTTTCTAGGAGATGGAGGCAGCACCAGTTCCGCCTCCAAAGAAGAAAAGAAAGAAAAGTCGGACACCGATTCTTCTGGAAAACCCAAGAATTTGGTTTGCACTGTTTGCAAAGAAAGATTTGTCGGAGTAAGTTTTTTTTTTCCTAATTTTCGAATATGATTGTTTTAGTATGTAAGGATTCATGCTAAGACATATTTAGATTTTAGATTTTTCTGGTTGTGGTAACGTGATATTCATTATGGGAAATTACAATGATTTCAAGAGTTATGATGTGTAAAATTATGATTTATATACATATATGTGCATCGTATTCACTCTAGTTAAAAGTAGAAAGATTAAGACGGCACGGAATTGCTTCTCTGTTATTGATTTTGCAAGAATTAGTTTGGAGGATATATATCATTGACCTTGAAGAGAGGTATTGATAAAAGGCAACTTTGGTTTCTCAGGAAAATCACCTCAAGAAACACATGCACAGCCATGACTTGTCACTTCATACCTGCCCCTATTGCCATGCCTACTTCAAGAAGCCTTTCAACCTGAAGCAACATATTAAGAAGCATGAAAGTAAGTAAAAAATATTAGAATATATGATTTAGCCTCATTTAACAGTGGAGGGAGGTTCTTCAGAATCATGAATTTTGATTGAAATTATCTAAGGTAAAAAATTTTGATTTTTGTGATGAAAGTACCAAAGGTTTCTTAACGGTTTTCTCTCTTTGGTGGTGGGAAATGCAGAGACTGTGTTTTCTCCTGCATGTGAAATAAAATGCGAAATTTAACTTGTATGTGAATCATTTTTGAAGTATATACGACAATTTTGCATTTGTTGAGATATTGTGGTAAACAGTGTTTCCTTTCAGACTGCAAGTATGAATGTAACCAGTGTCAACGCGTATTCACTGACAAGTCCACTTTACTTTGCCATGTGAGATCACAACATGAAAAGAGGTAAGGCTAAAGTGAAATTATATTGTAAGATTACCTGTTTGTAATTTTCATGGTATTGGGCACTAATGCTTATAAAATGTAATTTTTCAGGTACAACATCCAATGTGAAATTTGCCTGAAAAGGTTTTATCACAGAGCCCACTACAATGAACACATGAGGATTCATACCGGAGAGAAACCATACATGTGTGAGCTGTGTGGTAAAAAATTCTCGTGGCATGACAGTGTAAAGAAACACATGCAGACACACAGTGCGGAATCAAAATACAAGTGTAGATTATGTGGCAAATGGTTTAGGTAAGTTGTCATATAAACACAGTTTTGATATGTTTTAAAAGTACCTGACTGCATATACATTTGCAATTATTGAGTCCTACTGTGTTCGGTAAAGATTTAGTCCTTTTTTTTGTAGCTGTACATTACAAAAAATATGAGAACTGTCATCATTTGCTGACTAAACAATTATTGAGTTTTGGAAGAGATTGAGTCCTTTAAATATTGCATCCATTTGACATGATTACTGTTGCAGGTGGCTTCAAGGAGTTCGACAACACTTGCAACAACAAAATTGAAAAAGTGTGATATAGAGGCTCAGGTTGTTACAGCAGCAACCGAAACTGCCTCGGCCCTTCCGCAAGTATCACCAACAACCTCAGCCTACTCAGCAGCAGCAGCAACAGCAACCGCCGCACAACCACAGCCAAGCACACACAACAACAACAACAGCAGCAGCAGCAGCAGCAGCAAACAACAGCAACCAGGTTCTCCTCAGCTCCTACTCAGCACCCAGACGATAACACTCCAGGGAGAGAGTACCACACACTAGAAGCTGCAGCACCCAATGATGATGCAACTAACCAGCAGACCTTAAACATGTTCCATGTATCAGATGTGGAAGGGCAACAGCAAGGGATGTTCCAGTACCACTAAAAGAAAGTGTATAGATATATGTTTTATTATCTGGAATTATGATCTGCAGTAGTTGTTGGAAAGACTGAAAAATGTATTGAAACCACTTACTGACTGTGATATGCTTCTCATAATATTCTTCCATCATGTCCTTATTCGTGCTCAGTAAAAGACTCAGGCAGATTATTTAAGGTGCGCATTCCTAAATGCTGTTCATATGCTATAGTCCCTTTATATTTTTTGAGGTATTGTAAATATGATACATAACAGTGTGATGTATTTGATATCTTGAAAAATTAATTAAGGCATAAATGTATGGAGACGGCATGATATTCAAAGCACAATATTGTTTTGATGTCCAGATTATCCTTGGCAGTTCTATAAATTGGTTATCTCTTTTCCTTTCTCTCTTCTGCTCTGCCTTTCTTCTTTTTTTCTCTCTTCCCTCACTTCCACTTTTTCTCACTCTCTTCCTCTTTCCCTTTCCCTCCCTGTATGGCACAGTGTATAGCGTGTTGGTCTAGCAATCTTGCTGACCTGCATTCAATCCGGCGTGCGGCCAGTGGATGGTAACACTGACCATCCCTTGCACACAGGGGGAGATTTTGAAACAAAATGAAACAGACAGTATGTCCCAGCATACAATATCCATTGTAACAAATGGATTTAAAACTAAATCTTAAACAGTTCATCTCTTCCTCTTCATTTCCCACCTTCTTCCACTCTCCTTTCCTTCTCTCATGATTAAACACGTAGTGTCACACTCACAGCATACAAGCAAATGCTGTTTATGCTTCCATGCATGTGCATTCTCACTACCTCTCTATCCAGATGTACATAGAGAAAATATTTATATATGGAAGCTGATTTTATGCATAATTTAATCCTTATCATATGCAAATAATTTTTAACCATTACTGACATAAGATGAATATACTTCTTGTTCATGGGTGCTCATAATATATTGTTCATAAGCATTTTTTGTGTATATTTATTGGTTGTTATGAATGTAAGATTTATAAGAAAAAAGTAAAATATTGGTCACTGTAGAAATTTTAAGTACTGTGTTGTGTTTGTTTTATCAATAATGACGCCAGATAAATGAGAAATAAAATCATGTTGATATTCTATCATTTTTATTCCTGTACATAATTAGAGGATGTATTTATCTATTTATTGTGTTCTTAGTGGAAGAGGGAGTGAGAGGGAGAGGAGAGAATTGTGTTCATCTTAAATATATTTGGATATACATAAATAAAAACAGCAAAAATGTAACCATTCAATTGACATAATTTCTACTAGCAAATTATAATCAAATTATGCAATATAAATCACTAGTTCAATAAATAAAATGGTAGAAGGTTAAAAGCAAAACAAATGTGCTAGACATCCAAAGTCAAGTAACACTATAGGAAGGTAAAGTAAAGGGTGGTTGAGTTAGTAGTTGGTTACTATGCATCAACTATCATGGGTAATATTGAAAATGTTAAAGATGGGTAAAGGAGTTGATGACTGAATGGGTTACGGTGGGTTTAGGTAAGGGGATTAGATCAAGTGAAGGACATGCATGCGTCTGAGGAAGAATAGGTTGTTAAAGCAGAAAGTGTGGGATTCTGTAAGGATGTCTGATAGGTTGGGAGGATAGGCAGGGGAAAGCAGAGGTGTGGGCTATATCAAGGCATGGGACAGGACAACAATGTGTGGAACTGAAAGAGAGGATCATTACATAGGGGACATACCCCCCAATCCCACTTCTCTATGCCTCTATTCCTCTGACACCAGTCTCCAACTCTCCAACCAACTCCACTACATGAACTCCTGAAGATGTTCAAAACTTTCTGCTCGAGTCCCAAAATGACACCAAAACGAAATGAAACAGACAGTATATCCAGCAACAATTATCCATTGTAACAAATGGAATTAAAACTAAATCTTAAACAATTCCTTTCTCCCTCTCCCTCTCTCTTCCTCTCTCCATTTCCCATCCTCTTCCACTTTCCTTTCCTTCTTCTCATGCATTAAACACTAGTGTCACACTCACAGCATACAAGCAAATGCTGTTTATGCTTCCATGCATGTGCATTCTCACTACCTCTCGATCCAGATGTACATAGAGAAAATATTTATATATGGAAGCTGATTTTATGCATAATTTAATCCTTTAATCATATGCAAATAATTTTTAACCATTACTGACATAAGATGTATATACTTCTTGTTCATGGGTGCTCATAATATATTGTTCATAAGCATTTTTTGTGTATATTTATTGGTTGTTATGAATGTAAGATTTATAAGAAAAAAGTAAAATATTGGTCACTGTAGGAATTTTAAGTACTGTGTTGTGTTTGTTTTATCAATAATGACGCCAGATAAATGAGAAATAAAATCATGTTGATATTCTATCATTTTATTCCTGTACATAATTAGGGGATGTATTTATCTATTTATTGTGTTCTTAATGGAAGAGGGAGTAAGAGGGAGAGGAGAGAATTGTGTTCATCTTAAATATATTTGGATATACATAAATAAAAACGGCAAAAATATAACCATTCAATTGACATAATTTCTACTAGCAAATTATAACCATATTATCAATATAAATCACTAGTTCAATAAATAAAATGGTAGAAGGTTAAAAGCAAAACAAATATGCTAGACATCCAAGGTCAAGTAACACTATAGGAAGGTAAAGTAAAGGGTGGTTGAGTTAGTAGTTGGTTGCTATGCATCAACTATCATGGATAATATTGAAAATGTTAAAGATGGGTAAAGGAGTTGATGACTGAATGGGTTACGGTGGGTTTAGGTAAGGGGATTAGATCAAATGAAGGACATGTATGCATCTGAGGAAGGAGAATAGGTTGTTGAAGCTGAAAGTGTGTGATTCTGTAAGGATGTCTGATAGGTTGGGAGGATAGGCAGGGGAAAGCAGAGGTGTGGGCTATATCAAGGCATGGATAGGACAACAATGTGTGGAACTGAAAGAGGATCATTACATAGGGGACATACCCACCAATCCCACATATCTTTGCCTCTATTCCTCTGACACCAGTCTCCAACTCCACTACATGAACTCCTGAAGATGTTCAAAACTTTCTGCTCGAGTCCCAAAGTGACACCAAAACGAAATGAAACACAGTATGTCCCAGCAAACAATATCCATTGTAACAAATGGAATTAAAACTAAATCTTAAACAATTCCTTTCTCCTCTTCCCTCTCTCTTCCTCTCTCCATTTCCCACCCTCTTCCACTTTCCTTTCCTTCTCTCATGATTAAACACGTAGTGTCACACTCACAGCATACAAGCAAATGCTGTTTATGCTTCCATGCATGTGCATTCTCACTACCTCTCTATCCACATGTACATAGAGAAAATATTTATGTATGGAAGCTGATTTTATGCATAATTTAATCCTTTAATCATATGCAAATAATTTTTAACCATTACTGACATAAGATGTATATACTTCTTGTTCATGGGTGCTCATAATATATTGTTCATAAGTATTTTTTGTGTATATTTATTGGTTGTTATGAATGTAAGATTTATAAGAAAAAAGTAAAATATTGGTCACTAGAAATATTAAGTACTGTGTTGTGTTTGTTTTATCAATAAGCCAGATAAATGAGAAATAAAATCATGTTGATATTCTATCATTTTTATTCCTGTACATAATTAGAGGATGTATTTATCTATTTATTGTGTTCTTAGTGGAAGAGGAGTGAGGGAGAGAGAGAATTGTGTTCATCTTAAATATATTTGGATATACATAAATAAAAACAGCAAAAATATAACCATTCAATTGACATAATTTCTACTAGCAAATTATAACCAAATTATGCAATATAAATCACTAGTTCAATAAATAAAATGGTAGAAGGTTAAAAGCAAAACAAATGTGCTAGACATCCAAGGTCAAGTAACACTATAGGAGGGTAAAGTAAAGGGTGGTTGAGTTAGTAGTTAGTTGCTGTACATCAACTATCATGGGTAATATTGAAAATATTAAAGATGGGTAAAGGAGATGATGACTGAATGGGTTATGGTGGGTTTAGGTAAGGGGATTAGATCAAGTGAAGGACATGCATGCGTCTGAGGAAGGAGAATAGGTTGTTAAAGCAGAAAGTGTGGGATTCTGTAAGGATGTCTGATAGGTTGGGAGGATAGGTAGGGGAAAGCAGAGGTGTGGGCTATATCAAGGCACGGACAGGACGACAATGTGTGGAACTGAAAGAGGATCATTACATAGGGGACATACCCCCCAATCCCACTATCTTTGCCTCTATTCCTCTGACACCAGTCTCCAACTCTCCAACCAACTCCACTACATGAACTCCTGAAGATGTTCAAAACTTTCTGCTCGAGTCCCAAAATGACACCAAAACAAAATGAAACAGACAGTATGTCCCAGCAAACAATATCCATTGTAACAAATGGAATTAAAACTAAATCTTAAATTTTTCTCCCTCTCCCTCTCTCTTCCTCTCTCCATTTCCCACCTTCTTCCACTCTCCTTTCCTTCTCTCATGATTAAACACGTAGTGTCACACTCACAGCATACAAGCAAATGCTGTTTATGCTTCCATGCATGTGCATTCTCACTACCTCTCAATCCAGATGTACATAGAGAAAATATTTATGTATGGAAGCTGATTTTA